ACCAAAACCATTTCTTTCTCTATATACTTGAATTTAGTGGTTGTTGGAGTGACACTATGTCAATAAATATTTAGAAAATGCTTTAGTGAAATTTATTCTTGATTAAACTTTCTTGATTGAAATATGTGACTATCCATTTTTTGATTAAAAAAATGTGTGGCTTAAAATTCTCGATAAAATCTCTTATTATCAGTAACATTCCAGTCATGTAAAACTCTCTTCGGTTAATTAATAATAATAATTTGATCTTAAAATTTGTTACACCATGTATAATTACATGTTTTTCCTATAATTTCTGAGATCTCGAAATAGATAAGATTTAGAAGTGCAATCATATTTCAGGATTAGCACTGTATATTAATTCAACTGAAGTTCCACTTTCTGGAAGTGAGTCTCTTGCAAGTAGTTTAACCCACAATGAAGAAAATTAGAAACAATGAGGAGAAGAGCGCAGAAAGATCATTCAACAAATGAGGCTAATATCATTCCTCAGTTTAAGTAAATTATGAGTAAGTTATACAAAGAAATGAAATGAAAAAGTTCATAGATGGATATCCCTACAAAATGAGTTGGTAAATTTACTATGGAAGCAAACAACGAAACGATTGGAAAAATGCACTGCTATCGATATAATATTTCCCGGTGTATGCACGCACTGACACCAATAGTGGTATTACACAAGACTTGCAGAACTACTTCACAAAACCCGTTCACACAATTACACTGGTCTGTTGATCTATCTACTGTGTTTTGACATTGCCTTACTGAATGTCTCGTTAAGTACTGTGTGTGAGAATCCGCCATTTAATAAACACGAATATAAACTAAATTGAAATAAATTGATTAAAATAGTAACTACACCGATCGTTTCAATCACCGGAAATAATGATTGGGATAGACATTAAGTCTAAAGTTGTGCAAGATTTTGAGAACTCTCTATTCTAATTCTTACTTTTGCAAATTTCTACTCAAAACAGAATTTCAGGTCTTACTTGGAAAAAGAACCTAACTATAAAGTATACTTTATTACTGTTTACAAGCGTATTCTCTGGGAAGAAAAGAAAAATATGATTGAGCGTATTGGATAAGACTTATTGTTTATTTCTGATACACTGCAGCAAACAAACATGCCGGGTGAATATCAAATCAATCTAATTGCAGGCTTTCTGATAAGCAGATTATAAATCCATTGTTAGATCATTAAATTCTTCAAATTTAGAAGTAATTTATTTCGAATTCAAATAGCTTCAATAGTCATTGAAGCGATAGTGCTTGTTCATCATGAACCTCCTTCAACCGAGCAAACTTTCTTGCATATAACTAATTTCACTTGTAGTGAAATAGTTTGTAAAATGGATAAGGAAGTAAATTTAAATTTCATTGATTACAAAATGCAGTGAATCCTGATTAGCCATGAAGGTAGACGACTGCTTGGAATGATATCAATTTAGTACAAAGTTCAGTTTTCTTTCGCAAATAATGCTCCTTGATTTTTTGTGATCTATTAATCTACCTAGTGCAGTGCAACACTGAACAACCAATTCTCTGGCTTTAGTGAAATCGATTCTCTCTGAGTCGATAGTTTTAAAGCAGGATCGGTCAACTTTTTGAATGAATTAGGTTTTTTTCTAACGGCTAATGTTTCGATGGCGTTATTTTGGTACACAAAAACTACTTAGAGACTATGCAAATTTATTTCCAATCACTTACTGTGGCTTTTTTGAGTAAAAGCAAAATCAAAAAATTTGTTGGTTTTAAAAAACACCTTCTCTTTGTCTTTCCAGATCTTTCATTTTTTATCATATAAATAGACTTGATTAGTCATGAAGGTAGACTAAAATCATTTTAAAAATAACGAAACAAGTGACATCAGCTGAATGTGGTATGACCGTTACCGAAGTCGTCAATTCATTGTCTTTCAGTAGAGTAGATGATGTGTGTGTGTGTCTGTGTGTGTGTGTAAGCTCATTTTGAAGAATTATTATACTATTCAAGAAATTGAATCCGCAGTAAATCTTGAATAGCTTAGCTATATATATGTAGGAATAGTTACCTACGTCGCACAGGAAATTCTGGGAATTGTAAAAACGTATTAATACATCAATCTTCGGCAATATTCCGTGACACTCTATTATAATAAACAGAACAAAACATTGCTTCATAACGGAGATATTTGCACCTCAGTAATATTTGGACATGCAAACAAACACAAGCGCTCACACAAACACACACACACACATGCGATTTGCCTAAGAACTGAAAGTCCTCGCTGGAAAAGGCCGCTATTACTGAATTGAGTCATCCCTGTATTTTATTCAAATAGAATAAAATTTCGAATTTATTTGACCTATCCCATCTCAATTGTTTTCGCTCTCCCTGCTGTCGTATTTCGATAATAATCATCTTCATTCAAAAGTGGCATACATCGTCGACGCTCACTAATTGCAAACTAGCAGGACTAGAAGTTGTTCTACTGATCTCTTGAATGATAATTATTTCCAGAACAATACAATTTGTCATCCTAGTTTATGCACTGCTTCTACTTGTTGTAAATTCCCAATTTTGGGTTTGGACGTTTTTTTGACGTACTACGACTTTTCAAGAACAATCGTAGAACAACATATTAGACAATATATCACCGTCTAAATGTTGCTCCAGAAAGTAAGCATGAGAAATATAATGAGATTTTTTATTCTCACTTTCTAGAACGATTAAGAGGATTTCAAGAATGTGAAGGAAATGAAATGCGCTATCTTTTAATATCTGGAAGCGATATTCCAAATTCTTATGTTATTCGTTGAGTTTTATTCAATGCAAATGATCAATTTTAATATATTAATGTAGCAAATGATAAGGAATAATTGATTCCAAGCACTACCCAACTTCTGCTCTTCAAAGACAAAAAGTAGCCAGCGTGGTTACGGTACATGCTGCTTTAACATCTGGAGTGATTTGAATATTTTTGGTAGTTTCTGAATGGGGCATACATACGACATAGACATGGTTAATCTTACTGAAAACATTAAAATACCAATAGTTTCTTCTCCTTTACCTTTATCAATGATCTCAAAGAAAGAACAAACATTCACTAATAATATCAAATCGTCTTACCATGGCATGCAGCTCAACTTAATATTTAAGTGAACCATTTAAGTCTCTATCTTAAGAGCAACTATTACTTTGACTGATTAGATTGAGTAAGGTACAGGTCATGCATTCTCCCATTAAATAAACATATAACCGAATGACATTATCAAACCAATTGGTCCTTCATCCCATCTTAAACACTGCTATAGAGCAAAATTAACTTGTCAGACGTTAAACAACAAATATAAACCGAATAATTAGTAACAACAACCTATCCGTAACCTTTTTGCTTCCCAGTACATGGTTGAGGCGTCAGTCATAGGTTTCATATATAATAACTTAAAGTAATTGAATGTAAGTTCACACAGGTGTGCTTAACACAAATCAGAGAATGTGCCTTTAGAGCTATTCTACTCATTAGTAAGCTGTATTGAATAAATCGTTCACTTTTTCTCTCTACTGTAAGTATTAAAATAGGCGATTTTTAAAGCTCAATTAAAATACCGTTTTTGCTTCAATTTACAAATTTACAATAAAATTTAAGCGAAAAACACATATAATGTTGAAGCAATAAAGAGAATTGATCTAGTAAGTGCGATAAAGAAAGCATAGACTGCAGAAAGAAGTGCAACAAAGAAAAAATATTTCTTTTGCTGTTAGAAAAAGAAAAAAACCTTCAAAACTATTTCATCTGCAGTTTCCTTCTCTTTTTGTTTGAAATCAGGTATATAACATAATTCGCGAAAAATTCGATATAAAATTGTTTTTTAAATGCTCCGTGATTAGAAATCTTATGTAGCAATTTTAATCGATATGTGAAACTTTCGGATTTCTTCGAAGGAGAAGTTAGTAGTGCTTCTTGTTAGATAAAAATACTAAGAAATATAGATTCAAAGTAAAACTTTATTCACATTTTCATATTTTCAATTCCAAAAGTTACGAATTTTAAAAACACTGACCGTGAATCGAGAAGATTCGGGGAAACAATAAAAGACAGGGATCCCGAAAAGCAATGTCCGTAGTGAATCACTGACACTGACTGTTAGCTCAAATGAGTGCGTGAGGGTGAAAGATTTGAAATTAGCTTCCTGATCTTCTAAATATCACCTTGATCGATTTTCAAGCGATACCTCAGGGATTTGCTATCATGTACGTATAGCAAAGTAGGAAGTAAATGCCATTTAATTGTTCTGTAAAGTTCTATATTCCCGTTCTATAAACTATTACTATTAAATCGACATCTGCCGATTTCGGAATTCCAGATATGTTCATTCTATGACGTATTTAGCTCTTTGATATCAAAATGTTAATATATTTGAAACGTTCAACGTAGCATTTCAATCATGTAAAATGAAAACGCTGTGAACAGAAATCACTTCTCCAACACTTTAATGATGGCAATTACTGAATCATATGTATCTTCACTACGCAAGTCTCACTTCTATCCACAAAGATTGCAAAAAACCTTTCAGACTCGAAATTCAATTAGTTACCAAGATTTAACTGACTGACCAAATAAATTTATCGTTTCATTCACCAAACATCACTTAAACCCTGCATGATTACTTCCCATTGCTGACTCTGCTATTTCAGTAATTTTGATTTTATTTCCATAATGAACTTTCCTGCTTTCATTTTGATTGGCAGAACGATTATTGTATTTCAATTTCCATAAACTTGTTGCGCAGAGAACGGTACAAATTCCTATGGAATAATACGTAGACTCAGTTATCTTACAAGGAACATGAAATGATAGTTCACATACGTGATTTCCGAATGAAAACTGAAATATGGCGCAATATTCCTCCATGTATTTGTATGCCAAGAAAATGACTTGAATTCTAAATGTTTTATTCCAAAATAGCTTCTGAATATGTAGAAAAATAAAATAGGCCATCAAACAACGTTATTGCTTAAGTGTTGACTTCCAAGAATGTAGCATACTGGATGAGCTTATTAATATCAATACAGTCTCCCATCACTCCACAGGTTATTTTAGCAGATATTTCAGTGATCGGTCCATATGGTGAAGCATCCAATTTTTTAATGTTATGCTCTAACTGCGCTGTCATTTTTGGTATCACATAAGCATCTTCCAGTTGCCAGCCTACTCGAATCAGAACCTGCAACTTTAAGTAACATGAAACAGAACTGAAAAGTAGAACATGGAATGACGACCTTCGTTTTAAAAACATGGTGTGAAGTGGATCAGAAGCTATTTCTTATGTGTACATATTATGGCTGATCAAAGTATTAAAGTTATGCCAACTCCGATCATTCATGGCTGCTGACAACTTATCATATATGACAATACTCTACCACTACTCTATTCAGTTTATCTAAGTTTATATGTTTGATGAATCGAACCATTTGGTCTTTCAGAAACTTTTACTGCAATTTATGAAAAGTTTTCCGCCAAGAACTTTACAACAGCATCTTAAAGATTCTGAGTTGCATAAATCAATGATCTCATTAATTTAAGCATATCTCCTGTATTAACAACCTTTTGTAATTCGTTATTCGACTCAGTATCAAGCATTTCAGCTAATTTATTTGCTTCAATATTAATGTACGTATGTTCAATCATTCGCAACACCGACAAAGTAATTCGTTTATGTACTTCCATTATTAGATCTCTGAAAAAACAATGTCAAAAAATACATAATAGAGGAAATTCAGCAGAAACAAGACCGACCAAGCAGTAACGAAGAAACTATCTGTTTTATTCTCCTGCAATTTCAATTCCAAAAATCAGGAAGCAAATTTTCCTCAAGTACAGCCTCAGTAGCTCTTCATTTAGTAGAACGTTTCTCAAGAATTTCTGCTCCACTAAATTCTACAACAAAAAACAGTAGTAGTGAGGATGTGACCAAGTCAATAAAATATACTTGAACGGATCATCAAAGTGCGAATTTTTGATCAAATGAAGAGCAGTTCCAGTATCACCGTTCTCCAGATGACGACAGATATGCATGAGTGTATTCAAATGGTCATTTGCGGCAATTGCTTCAGCACGGAGACGGCACTGGCGTGCCTAACGTAAGAATATTGTGGAAATTAGTAAAATGGCAGATGTCCTATTATACCAATCCATGCTCCCACCCGTTTTTAGGAATCTGATGTCACTAGTTCTTAATGTTACAGATTTTAAAAACAAGGTTAAAAAAATAAACTTTTGGCCAATCTTCCTTAATCATGTAAAATATCAATAAATGTGAGAAAAAGTCGAAATCAACGTCGCGTTCGTTGGGCTGAATTTCACGCTGCTCGAATGATCGCAATTTTGAAGCGAAAGCAGAAGGCTCCTAAACAATACAAGACTAGAATTGCTACTAACAGAAACCATACAATGGAAAATGATTACTTCTTTAGATCTTCCAATCTTCTCAGGCTCTATTAGGAAAAAAAAAAAATGAAATTGATAAAAGTTGGCATCTCTTCCACTTATGACGATAAGAAATTGAAAGCTGATACCACTGCAGACCCAGTAGTTCCATAAATTCAGAAAAAAGAGCATCAAGATGAGAAACTTAATCCAAGAATTACTGTAGTAATTAACAATAGGATTCATACCAACGAGCAAAGAACTAGTAGGCTACATCACACGTATTTCTAGTAATAAATTTTTCCAGACAATTTTTAATTACTCTTTTACTAGAAGGAAATTGAACTGAAAGATATAACCTAACAATAGTAACAAAAACTGTGTAGCATAAAACAAATATTTTTACCAAATACATTTCATTTTACACCATTCCACAAAGTAGTAAGTAAATCAAAACTATCTTTTAGAGAACTCGAAAATACTGACAACGAATGGAACATCGCTGACACTGGCAGAATCGTGCATTGAAAATGACGGTGTAGAAAGGCTATCTTCAGTATCCATGTACAAAGTTTCATCTGAAATAAAAAACAAAACTATTTTGGAATTAAATTTCGGCCAACTTCCGCACTCCAGCAAATTTCGGTTCAGTGTGAAAATACGCAAACTAGCTAGAAGCTTCGATAAATGCTGGTGTAACACATCTTTGAAAGCAACCGAATTTCACCGTTTTGTGGAACAACAGCACATCCACCAATTTGTTCGTCGCTCAGATTCTCCGAGACATCAGGAACTTCAGACATTACTAAAACAAAAAGGATTGCAACTTGTAATTTACAATCGAAATTTAAAATCAAGTCCTGCATACCAGTAAAGATAGTTGGAAACATTGCACAGCAGGTATTTTTCACAATAAAAACTTAAGGGACGGTAAAAATAAGGAAACTCAGTCAGCTGGATAAATTATGCGCGTTCTTTACCACCTTCTTTCTGATCATCAAAAAACTCTTCTAAAAGCACAATAGCAAGAGACGGAACGTAAACTTCGTGAAAAAAAATCGCAAATATGCAAAAGAAAGTAACATGTCCAGCGCCAACATAAGAAAGTGATGATTTATTTTCGAATTCGAAACTGTAGAACATGATCCGATATCATAAAACACTGCAAACTTCCAAACTCTCCCTTTCATATTTAACAGAAAAATGCTTATCAGTTTGGATCAATCAATACCTACTTCTAGAAATTGAAAAAAAAAAAGAATTCTGGTTTAAAAAACTAAAAACTCAAGAAATACATATAAATCAGCTCACCAATATGATCATAGCCAAAAAAAAATGTAACTACTAGACAAATTTGGTAATTCACTTTCAATATTTACTGTACTCCATGCCTCATTCAACAATGTAATGAGCAACCGAAACAAAATATACGAAGCGGAAGTACAAGGGAATGAAAAGAACCAGTAATTTGGGGATTTTTACAAGTGATGTGAACCAATTACTTCGCAAAAGTGCGATGGATTAAATTTTGCAGACAAAACTGGAATTTCGAACCAATTGTTTTGCTTATATGGCAAGTTCGAGACACCAGAGAAAAAAGGACTCTGTCAGCTAAAATTCATGAATATAAATACCAATGCAAGATAATTTGTTCACTAACATAATTCGAAAATGTTTGAGATAACACCGCGAGCAATAAGGATGATACGCGAAGTAATATGAGGCCAGAGAAAGGCAAAAATGACTGGTAACACTGTACAGACATAGACCCAAATAAATATGCGACAAGTAATGTAACACATCAATTCTGAAACAAAAACAAAATACTGCTCAGTTTGTAGTAAGATAGATTCGAATAGTTCCATAAAAATAGAAGAATTCAGCTCGTATTTTGGAAAAAAAGGTGAAATTAATTGTAAATCTGCTTAATCTATATGTAACAAAATTATTTTAAATGTATAAATTCTATCGACAAGAAGCCATAATCTCAATGTACGAAATACAAGCAGAAATTTATCCGGGTGCATATTTCCATTCCTGTCTACATAAAGGACACTGCGGTCGAGCTGCGTTTTGAGTTTCAGTCCACTTCACAATGCAGTGCATGTGAAATGCATGCTTACATTCTCCTAGTGCCTGAAATACAAAACGCATAGTAGAGCCTCATGCTGTAGCTAAGCAGGACAGATGATGAAAGGTATTAGGAAATATTCTCCAAAATCTGTAATATCTCCTCCTATGGAAACATGAGAGCGATCATTTGCTCAAATACCTGACAAAATTGCACCAACAATTATATGTGAAAAATTAAAATGCTATCCCAACACTCGTTAGTTGCAACGGAAGAAAACTAAACATACCAAAGGACACTCATCACCAGGTGTTTTGCATTCAATGCAGCATGCCTCAAATGGCATTCGACAGATCCCACAAGTTTCATCACCCGCCATCCATTTCCATGATGCAGCCACCTAAAAAACTGATGTAATAAAATATCGGGATTTAGATGCCTTCTTCTCCCTTCTCTACTTCACAACATATAAAAAGAAAACTGCAGATCGATATTACCTGTAAATTTTTCAGTGAGGGTCAACCAGCTCAGTCAGAAATGTCATTAGAATTTAACAAGGAAAATAAATTTTTTCTTTATAATTTAGATTTCATCTAATGCGTAACTAGCGGCCTGACTCTATTTAATAGAGTTGAATGGATTTCATTTTAAACTGATGTTAAACCAATTCTGGTACGCATCTCTATCCTCAAACTGTATTCTTATATTGGAGCACAGACCTTAGCGGAATCCGAAATGAACATCCCTATCGAGATATGGAGTGCACTGGCTGAAATACTGACCGAATGCGATGTGTCTCACTAGAGTCAGCCTCAAAGAATCCAACAACACATGAACGAATATGGAATTATTTAAGGCCAGATAATCTGAATCACCAGCAGCCCAATTAGAAAGAACAGACGAAATGGTTGATTTTAGTAACGTTCAGACATTTTTCAATGATTTCGAACAGTAATAGCAAAAAGAAAAAATTACATAAACATACATTCCACTTGAGCACCGTCATTTTCAAACGAGTTGATGAGGGTAGTTTCAATGGTTGTGGACGAAACCTTGCGGATAAAGATGAATCATGATGAATAGGATTCTGGAAACTGCCATTATTTCCCTCAATAATATCCGATTCCTACAAATACATTCATATAATTTCAACTGATGACTAATGCTAATTGACAGCCCATCATGACTGCGAAACGATTATCTCAGAAATGCACTACTAAATGTAAGGTCTAAATAACCATAAATCCTGCAATGAAGAGATATAATACAAAGAAGGACAAAGAAAACTTCTTGGCACAATAGAAGTACGCAAGAAATGGAAGTGATGACACATATCAAATCATATCACTCTACAAAAACTAACATTACTGCTATTCAAATCCCGTTGCATAAGATGTGACAGACGAAAACTTCCGCCTTGTACTGTTTCACCCAAACTATTCGCAAAACCTTCACTCTCTGGAATGTGGAAATGAAATTTCGATCTTTAAAAAACAAAAAAACAGATACCCATTCTACAATAATCATCATCATATCTTTCATTTTATTGCATTCCATATCTCACTAATAAAACAGCTGAGATATGCCCTACAACGAGCTTAAATTCTCCCCTCTTCAATTGTTACAACTTCATGGCTAAGGAGCAAACAGAAGTATTTTTTTCTTTTTAGGAAAATTTGCTTATAATTCTTTGATGAAAAATCATTAAGCAAGCATAGATAACACACATCATCCATATTTTAGATATAATTGGAGTAAATAGAATAATATAATATTGTGAACGCGTTGTCTCTTTTTATGTGTTACTTTTTTTTTCTTTTTCACACAACAAACAAACTTGCACGGCTGGCATGATAGAAGCAAACAGTGAGAATGAAAATTTCTGAAAACTGACGTGCACTTTCCCTTTGCTCGCTATAAGTGCTTGGGTCACTTGCTGATGGTGAGTACAAATCCCGGAATAGTGCCAACTCCTAAAATATTTAATTCGCCTTTTTCGTAAGTACCGTTAAAATGGAAAATACTTTGTTTTAAGTTAACATGAAAAACAACTGTTAACTAACAACATCACTGAATTCATTCACTTGAGTTGATGAGCCATCAGTAACGTCATTGTTTTCTGATTCATTTAAGTGATTGTTGTCATCATCATTATGGTCTCCGTTTTCATCATTAATTGACGATATCACACCAAATGATAATGAATTAGTAGTATTTGTCAACAAGGACAACGATTCGTTAGTAACTACATCGGTATTAGAACCTTCTGTACTGCTACTTTCGTTCACCGGTTCTTGTGCTTAAAAGTATTACTCTTATTGATATAATATTAGATTTAATTTCTTACATCCAAACGTTTTGGAATAAAGAAATGTCGTTGTATTTGTGGACTTCATAAAAAGATCCCAAGAATAAACTATCAGTAAATGAAAACCATTAAAAATCTTGTAGAACCAGTGTTAAAGTAAACAATACTGACCATGGCGATGATTAAGCAAGGACAAATATTCCATATAAGATTCCATATGTGTGGATGAATCATCCTGAGGATAACTGAAAACATCTCTCGTATGATCTCTTGCCTGAAGAATAAATTCGCGAACAAAACCTTGATTACAATTCCTGAAGACTTCGCTGCCTTTAATGATTTTTAGGAATAAATAATATTCTATATATCTCACTTTCAATAGGCTGAAATCTTTTAATAAAGCAAACATCCAGCACATATCTCCTACATGCCATTAGAGATTGTTCTGCATTTTATAACTTACTGCACTGCTGTTTGTGTTCAGATTAGTGCCGCCTATATCGAAATTACGAAGTGCTGCTGTTAATGATGGTGAGCTTGAAGAAGAAGAGAACGTATTCTGATCGCCTCCTTCAGAAAGCTGTGAACTCGAATTTGATGTTGTATCTAGAGTATAGGACACTGGAGATCTGTAAATATGAAAAAGTTTTTAGCAAAATTCGGGCGTAAATGTGATAAGAAATAATTCATATCCTAAATAATTCGGGTAATTTATAAGACATCGTTAAAAAGCATGAATGTGAAATTACTGTACTATAGAAAAGAACAGCTTCCAGAGTAAGTAGTAAGGCGACTACTCTGTATATAGTAGCGATAGTGAAAACAATTCATAAAATCGGTCGACACAGAATTATAGAAAACTTGCAGTGTATGTAATATGAAAGTAGTTTGAAATCTTTGAATATCCTGAAAAAACGTACAAGTTTCCACGGCTTCTTTCATGCGACATGGTTCACTAGAATTATGGAAAGTTCGGATTCATTCCCAGAAATGTGATAGCCACCACTGTCTAAAAAAAATAAGTTAGATATCTAAACAAACAAAATATTGATAGATTAGAAGCCTGGCCTCTCCAACCTAGACTTATAAGCAGCAATTTCGAATTAAGAAGAATCAAATGACTCCTTCATATTAACATCGCCCGTTTAATCTTGATGTTAATTTGTAGCAGTTGAGTAAGGTTAAACTAAACGACAAAGCGATAAAGAAAAGTGGAAAGAAGTGTGGTGAAAAAATCTTTAAGACTCGAAAATTATCTATACTTCAATATTTAACGCCACTATTGCTTCTTCAGCTAAAAATCGAACAGCACTAGAAGTGATTCATGACGGACATAAGAAATTCCCAGTCCAATCGAGTTACACAATTGAAGCTTTCAAGTCATGACGACACTTTTGTAAGTTACATTCCCAAAGTTCTTCAACAAATGCTAATGATTTCACAAAATCTAATCTCGAGCGTCCACAATACGGTAAGTGGTCTGAATCACGAACCACCTAAGTTTTAAACAAATTAAAATAGTACACCGAACCCATATACTGGATTTAAACACTTCCGACCAAAAGAAATTAAAACTATGTGAATTTGATAATTGGATCGATACCCTCTGCATACAGAAAATTATCATAGCATAAAAACTTCGCTTTAATAAAAAATGAAACGTATAACACTTTACAAAAACGAAACTTCACAAAGTGCACCACTTTGTTGATAAACGCAACATATTTCAAAAAAGATTAACTCTTTCTCCTATTACCTTTACGCAGAAATATTGAGCGCTTCGTGGTGCAAACTGACCAATAAAAATTGTCAAGAAATTACTAGTGTTCAGTTCATTATCGAATATAATTTTTAAACACATAATTCGGTAAATATGACAAAGTTATTCACTTACTATAAAACAAGCGTATTATATTACAGGTTTAAAAAACACAAAAGAAACTATCCTCCACACCCTTTCACTCTACAAGGTGTTTTCAACATAAGTAACTTAGTTAATAACTAATAATACTGATAATGATAATAACAGCAATGAGAAAAAAAAATAATAAATGAATAACAATACAACAAAGTAATAAATAAATAATAATAATGAACTAAAATAACGAACTAATTAATTAATTAAATATATTCGATGGTAAAAACATGCTAAAAATACTCCAAATCCGACTTTTTCGGCTAGAAACTGAAGCTTCTGACGACAAAATATTGGTAAACTACAATAAACAAAGTAAACTATACATACAAGCAAATATATAATAGCAAATTTTTACATTAAAATCAAGTGTAAAAAAATTATGAATAACACAACGTACAGATTAACAGCAATGAAAACAAAAACATCTTACTGTTAATAAAATATTGTCAAAAAAATAATGCAAAAAAAAAATAATATCAAAGAAAAAAAAAATAATTTTGAGGTAAAAAATTATTGAAACCTAAAGAATAAATTAGATTTCGTTATCAACGTTTGGGTAAGGTAGATAATACTACGCATCTTTTCCCAGTATAACCATACAGTGGCGTAATGCGCTACCTTTATCCCTATGTATGTAAAGCAAATCTCAAGGGCTCTAATCTTTGAAAGTAAGTGAAACTAAGACAATAATTAGGGATTTGCATTGAGATAATTAATAAATAACGAAGCAAATTTGGACATATCATTCAATGGATGCATCTTCATATAAGTGATGAATTGTCGACGCAGTCCTGAGAGTTCGGCAAAAGATCGCTGTCTTGTAAACAATATCTAAACACTCAACTTTACAATGATATAAAATATACACACTTCAAAATATATTTTTTAAGTTACTAGGAATAAATACTTTCAACCGCCTGTTGCAATGAGGGAACAACACTTATGTTATAGATTACTACAATCGTACTTTTAAAATTTGGCATAAAGTTCTGCAAAAAAATCCTTTTAACCAAACGTTTTAACAAGATTAACTGAAGTAATTTTTTTCAAGTACAGTCAGTTTCATTTTATATTTCATGAGTCCACACTACCAATAAAATTACTGAACCTTGTCGTCGTCCAAAATACAATTTGGTATAATGAAGGTATCGCCTGGCAAGGCCGTCCGCTGTTGCTGCATAACACTAGTTACAACTTCTTTAGTTACGTGGTCTAGAACATGTAGGAAATCTGCCGGCATAAGCGACGCATTTTCAGTACTTTCATTAGCGGATAAACTTCTACCCTATAAAAAATGTATCTTTTCAAAAAGAAGTACGCAATACGAAAAGATAACCCTGAAAATCCGATATATAATCTAGATACTGTAGCAACAGAATAATTGCGGATGCTTGGAAAGTTCAGACTTGAATTAATCTTACCTCGAATAACCAGAGATATATATCTTCCAGAGGTAAATCCTTTTCACTCAGTCTGAGCAAACAAAAGCACTGTTCGAAACTCGAATCACATCTCCAATGAGTTTCACTACCAGCTCTAATTTCAACCTTAAAAAGCGGATAATCCCAGCGATTTGTAGCAGGCTCTTCAAAACGCATCGCCAATTCCGTTATATCATCTGCTTTATATCTATAAGAAACTTATTTATAATACATCAAAAGCCTCTTGGCAACAAGAAGTGTATAGCGACAGAACCAACAAAAATCAGAACTATGGAAACATTATCTAGCCTAATTTGCCACAAAAAAAAAAAAAGAAATTTCTACATTAAGAGGATATCATGAGGAGGGAAATCTCCCAAAACTTGCTATCACATCTTCTCTCAGCTTCACTATGAAATCCATTTTGAATTTGAAGTTTGCACATACTGCAATCCACGAACCAGTTTATCAACTATATTTAATACCAAATACAGCCTTTAATTTCCAATGTATTTTCGGTCGGTCTAGGCATTACATATTCCACCTATTTATTAAAGGTTTATTAATGAGCAATAAAAATTACCTTTCAATTTTTTCTTTCTCTAGGTTAAGCCGTTGGCAAATATTCTCATTGGCATCACAGTACAAAACACAGTATGTTGTTCGCATCAATTTCGCTATACAAAACAACTCATATCTGAAACCTGTAAATTGCTGAAATATAATACAGTATGTTGTTGCAACAATTTTCCCATACAAGTACGAAGCAAGTGATACAACGAGTATTTTCCAAATGAAGCCTACCTTTGATGTAATTTAACGAATCGCAAATAACCAAACAATCTTCTGAAAGTAAGCGCTGCACCTCTGATTTCAACACTGCACGATGCTCTCGTTCCTAAAACAAGGTACGCAGACACTTCATATAAACTTCTCGACAAGTCACCTCACCTTATTTTTGCTGTTCCATAACGACCGATATCAAAGATCTATTACTAAAGCATTCCACAATGTTGAAATCAAAAAATTGACGGAAGTCAAGCTATGGGAGAAGGAAAAGCAGTGTTAAGTTTTTAAGAGAACCTCTTGAGAATTTTTGTATATCGACCTTGTAAATGAAGCATTTATGTTATCGGATACAACTTCAACTCGCCGAGATTTCCTTGTCACAGTAAATTTACACAAGTACTTAGCAAGTGTACTCTTTCCAGAAGATGGTTTCCCACACACAACAACCAATGGCATTTGATCTTTTTGAAATGTAATGTTTTCTTAGCAAATCGCTGAAATTATGAAAATGGAAAGATTACTAAATGATAAAGTTATATGAATGATATGTGACTATTTCACAAAATTATATGACAAAGTTATATCACTGCCCTACAAACCTTGCAGAGTCCCACTTCCCCGCTCCTACACCTCATCGACCACCAAATGAAATTGCTACTGTGAAACTAGAAATCCCTTCACATACACTGTGGGTGGTCTTCAACGTCTGTGTGCTAATCTGCAGTAGTAGGCAAGTTTCCAGATGGTATTTGTTAATCAGTCATAACTTTTATTCCAACTGCTAAAATTATCTGTCTTGTGCAGTAATTACTTCCAGAGCCATTTTTTTCTGGGTGTTTTGGGGTTAGCTTATTACCAGCGGACCTTCTTTTGGGACATAAATTGCTATAATCATTGAATGATATAATCATGAATTTGGACATGACGACGGGGATTTCATTCCTCGTATTTTTTGTCTGTTCGCCAATATCTAGCATGACTTTCATTTCAGGCTGTCACCCATATCCGATCTTCTTTATGCTTCGCATCCTACAGGTACAAAATTTTAAATCAGCGTGATTCTTACAATAAACATCTTACAACGTAAGCATTACATTCCTAATCATTTCCATCAAACTAATTGGATGAGAAAGTAGCTTTGTGGGACCTAGTTTTTTTGACACTTTCATGATTTCTTAATTCATGATCAGATTCGCTTAATAAAAGACGGACTAATAATTAGTAACTTTCATTTCCATTCTGCATTTTTCTTCCACCTTTTATTTTGTTAATCTACAATATATACATATTAACCTTTTGATTTAGTTCCATTTCGCCAGATAGTTTCTCCAAAGTTGAAACAAAAATTTTGAAACCCTTTCTTATGCCCCATCTATCCATCGTATGTTAATTAATCTTCTTCTTCTAGTACATATTCCCTAAACTATAATCCATTATTATTTCGAATTGTGCTCCCCAGTTGCACTTGAAGAACCAAATAATCGCATATATTTATGGACCAGAATTTTATATTTAGTTTTTTTTCTTTTTAGTTCATATGGTCAGCCCAGTATTATTTTCAGGAATCTTTGGCATCTAGATTTCAGCAAACATTATGGTTTATGTTTCCACCTTATAGCTCGTTCTGTACGACTTCACAATGCTTTAGTCATTCTTATAGAGTCTCTGGCCTAAGCACCAATTTTTTACGCATTCATGAAGTGGGAATCAGTAGGCAAAATTCCCTCCGAAATAAAGGATCTTTACAGTGAGTCTTTCTCGTAACAAAAACATATTAAAAGAGAAAAGCAAATTAAATGAAAAATACAGAAATGAAAGATCAGTTGTTGTAGCATACAGTTGTTTCTGCCAAAAATTGTGATTCAAAACAGTACATCTGCTTATTTTTTTTTATTACTTTTAAGCGATACCGGTCGGAAACCACGTGGAAGTGGTATCGTCATACTACTACTGGCGGTAATTTCTAGTGGAGGTGCTGCATATTACTGGTATGGTTAATTATCCATTTCATCAAGATTTAGTTTGCTTTTGTGTTGTGCACTACAACTAATCGCGAGGATGAGAGACAGCCATATGTAGACATTCTGAAAAAGCTTACATGAGGTTCGACTATTAAACTGTTGGCCTTTGCTTTGCTTGGTGCCGAGAAGTATGAAAACAGTTCTATAAAGTTTCGTTTTTTCCTAATCTGATCTTGGTTTTTCGACTTTCCTTATGTCTGGTTTTGTTTTGTTGGATTTCGGATCAGCAATATTTTTTTTTTTTAAAGTTTTTTTTTATTTCAAGGTATTTCGAAAACGGAAAGAAAAAAAGTGGACACATGACGGATTTTTTTCTCAAAACAGCCGCAGTACCGGCACCGACATCTAAGATTCTTGAAGAAGCAGTAAGCCTGGAAAAAAAACCCATATCCCAAACAATACAGCATGGAAGTTTGCATTTATGAAATATATGCTAAAAACGAATGCTAGCCATCAAAATTCTTTTGTTGGTTAATATTTATAAGCCTTTGTTGTTAAGAGCATAAGTCAGCTTGATTCTGGTTCATAGTTTTTGTGCTGATCGCCTCTTCCACCATTTTTGCATATAAACAATGAGATCTTGAGAATACCTATTCAATGTTCTAATTTTCAGCCATAGAAGAGATGTTAAAGACATCTTTGCAGTCTGCTACTGAAAAAGTACATTCAGCAACAGAAGCAAAATATAAAACGGTCGATGTTATAAATGAACATACGCGTGTGATGAAACAAACAATTGATGAAGGCGAAGTTAGCTATGGTTTTGATTCACAAGTTTTCTACGTGCATGGAGAATAGTATTTTAATGGTCACTGTATTTTTTTTAGGAAGGAGATTGGACGCGAGTGACAAGTGCGCTCCAAAAAGTTGACAGAGCTGCTAATAATGACACTAGAGAAGAGAATGATGCTAGAAATTATTTGGATAGTGTCAGGAAGGTTGGTCGTCTCAGCTTTTAATGAATTTTTATTTATCTGGCAGTTTCCCTAAATTTTGTTAAGCTATTTTGTTTTGTTTTGGAATGTCAGTATGAAGGTTCTGCAGATAATCGAACAAGGAGAAGCAGCGGAACCGACTCGCAGTAATCCTTTATTACAAAATGCTCGTGAGACTATTAGTAGGCTTGATCGACAACTTGATGAAATGAATTTATTAATCAGAAAAACTCGTAATGAAGGACGTATTCTCAATGAATACAAAGAATTGATTGATAAGAGCCGGAAGCAGTTTGCATCTGAGTTGAAATCAGTTCTTCCAAATGTTGATATCCATGCGCAAGGTTATTTTTTTGGAAAGTAAAGAAATATTGGATGATTGTTGAAAATGATTAGAAAGCCGAGTTTACCATTTTATAAAAAAAAAAAAAAAAAAAAAACAATGGTTCTTATGAAAACCCTACAGTTTGTGTGAGTTCCTGTAATTTAAACAAGGAAATGGATTGTAATTTTGTTTTAAATGAAAAAATAAATAAAATTGCAATTCAAAAAAAAATATATTTTGAACTTAATTAACATTTTTCTTTGCATTGCATAGGATCTGCCCACATCCTATCGTGGTTATTTGACAATTTAAACAAAAAAAAATTTTTTTAAATTTCACTTTGGAACAGAATTTAAATGACGAAATTAATTAAAACTGTGGCAGTTTAAGGATTTCATTAGATGACTTGAAATATTCAAATATGAAGTAGCCAGTGACTCATTTTATTTATGATGATAAATTTAAGACATTCGGGGGGTCGTTTCTGTACCCAGAATTTTTAGAATCAAGTGATCTTTAAGTTTTTTTTTTTAACACGATTTTTATAATTTTCATACGGTTTTCCAATCACAGATTCTAAATTGAACGAAGAAGAATTGAATGCATTAATTGCACATGCACATTTAAAAGTGGATCAGTTAAGGAAACAACTTGCGGAACAGCAAGTATGCTTTTTTCTGGTTTGTCTACATTTGGACGGTATATTTTCGCTATAGACATTGTTTACGTGATTAAAATTTTTTCATTAGTGTGATTTGCCTTTAGTTTTTTGCAAATCCAGATTCAGTCTGCTGCTGTGTGCTTATCGCATGTCCACTGCATACTTGTAATCAGTAAATTTCGTTATGTTCTAGCAATGCCAGACATCGTCATTACAGTGAGTATTTTAGCGCGTAAAATTTAGTTTTTTTCCGAAGTTATGACCGGAGAATAAGGATTTTTAGGTTCGCGAAGAGCAGAATATCGCATGTGCTTTAGAAGAACAAAGAAAATCCCAAAGTAGACTAACCGAGGAAGAAATAAATCTAAAGATACAAGCAGCCCGTGAAGAAATCCAGTTAGAAGCTGAGAAAGTGGTAAGGTTTCATATTGGTTCGTGTTACAATGTATAGTTTTTTGGTGTTATCGTTTCTGGATTTTATTATTTTCAGCTTTCAATGCAACGAGAACAGTGGGAAGCTGAACTTGAAGAGAAACTGCAAAAAGCAGCTGCTGCTCATTCTGATCATATTGAAGAAGTTGTACGTGTGCAAAGAAATCTTTTTGAAATTGAAGAGAAGCAGAAGGTTAGCCTTTAAAAAAACTTGTGATTTTGAAAATCAGTGGAAAAGAATTTGGCTGGTAGAGTCTTCTATTATTTCGGTCCGTTTTTTTCGTTATCATTTTTTTTTCTTTTCATTTACATATAAGCTTCATTTTGATATTTTAGATTGAAGAAGCTATTATCGAATGGCGTTCTGAACTTAGTAAGGAATTAGCAGCTGCACAGGGTAAGCTAGAGGGCATTGAAGCTGCTTTGAAATCACGAACTTCACAGGTGTTTTTTCCTCGTAAATTATGAGAAATTAATTTTTGTGATGAGAAAGACGTGCTAGTGCATTTATGATTGGCAAATTCGAATTCTGTGACAAATAAGATGCATCTCCATGTTAAGTTTATCCGCAACTTGTTAATTTGAATTGCAACCGTTTCTTAATCACATACCGTTGTTTAAACTGTTAATTTTTTGTTTATTTGGTTTTACTTGGTTAGCTAATCATGCTCATCATGTTTCTGATTAGCTTTATGGTTCTAAGGAACATTTAATATCGTGCTTTGAACTAGATTGTTATCAGTAATATCAGTAAGAAAATACTGTTATCATAAGATCTTTATTATTCAATACCAGAAACGAAATGAAATACAAAATAACTGCGAAAACAGTTAATTGTCTTTTCCAATTACAAATTATTTAAAGGATGTCGAAAATCGTCGTGCTAAGCAAATATGGATAGCTGCTCATAATTTGATCGATTCTGTGATAAATGGAGAAAGAAGTGGTACTAATGATGATGCACGCCGTAAACCATTAGCAACTGAAGTAGCTGAATTATTTTACAACTTTTTTAGTATAAGTCAGTTACATTCATAAATAAGCTTCTGTACACTTTTTTTCATCAGAAAATATTTTGTAGCTTCAAATGATTCGAGAAGCTGACTGTAATGATGAATTTGTGGCGTGTCTAGTTAATGCACTTCCAGATGAAACAATATATAATGGTGTTTATACTGAAGAAGATTTGAAGGCAAGATTCACTAAGGTAGTCGTTTAAAATTTCTCGCAGTTAATTTCTATACCTTATATTACATATCTATGCATTTTCTACATTTATCCTTTCAGCTATATAAAATTTGTCGCCGAGTGGCCAAAATGGATGAAAGCAATGTTGGGGTATTCCAGTACGGTTTATCATACTTGCAGAATGCGATGTCTTTCGATCCTCCTGGGAAATTTCCGAAAATGGTAACGAAGTTCTTTTTCGAACTCTGACTTTAACATGAACTTTTCTCTATGTGTTTCATACTGATGCAGCTGCTAACCTCTTTTTAATGCATGTTACTGCATTTTCATTTGCGCACGAGATGAAATTTAGTTGATTGTGAGCATGAAATTCGAAGCCTTATATATTTCAGGCAAAATTTGATCCGATGACATTGGATTCATATGAAGTACTGTCAAGAGCAAAAAGTTTTGTAGCAGAAGGGGATTTGAATTCGGCGGTACGGATTTTACAGCTTTTGACGGGCCCAGCAAGGTTTGTAGCACGTAGCTGGATAAATGATGTTCGAACACATTTGGAAGCACGTTTTATTGCTGAATTACTTCTTGCACATGCTGCTGTCAATAATTATTCATCTGTATATTAATTCATTGCGCTAGCAGAATAGCAACTCATCACTGGTTTTTAATTTTCGCATGGATGTGGGTTTGGAATAAGCTGAATTTCAAGCAACTTTAATTACCAGTTATGAGCAGATATTGGAGAGGTAGCTTGGTAACGGGGATGGTTTCTAATGATAACGACATGGCATCATTTCATTTATAAAAATGAATTTCTTTGTTTTATTAATTAGTTGATCAAATTCTGCGGTTATTTAATCTCTAAGGATGAATTTACAGTGACGATTTATTTCCGGAATATTTTAAAAAATATTCGTTTTTTAGTCACTCTTCAAACAAATACTGTTTGAAGTATTTGTAGGTATTATTAGTATTTCTGATATTACTTAATCAAAAGTAATATTTAGCGCAAGTCACAAAAAGATGTTTTTGTTGTTCTGCATAAGATAATTTTAGAAGAATTCTCTGATTCTGTTTGCTATGTTTTAAAACGTTTACGAAATTTTATTCATAACTCCTAAGAAATTTCAAAGCTAAAAATTCTGAAACGAAAACCATCCAACCACAGAGCATTAATCCAAAAAAAAAAAAAAAATTAACAGGGAAATTGTTGGTAGTGGTCGCAAAACTTTTTTTTTTTTGTTCACCACGCATAGCTAATCTAAGCTGTGCTGTCTCTGACTTATTGTATGTTAATTTTTGTATTAATGTTTTGTAGTTGGATGGTTTTCGATTTTACCTTATGGAATATTTGTTCCCTTTATTGCTGCCTAATTCTTGACTTTTTGCCGTTTTGATGAAGTTAAGGGTGTTTAGTTCTGAATTTGTGGGGATCGTGAATCTGACTCCTAAGAAGTTTCTATTTCCTATTTAACGGCGTCTTCGTTCTTGAGTGTTATTGGAAACCAGAAAAGAACTGAATATTTTTCCTCTCAAAAAAACAGTGGTAACAACTTATAGTTTATAAAATACACTTCGCTGAGATCTGATTCAAAGTCATACTGGCATAACTGGTAACACAAATACTAGCACAATTAAAGAAGAATTTGCATAGTAGGGATTATGTAAGACACAGATAACTAAATTAAGTTCTTGAAATTTTAAGTTCGGTTATAATTACTGTTTTTTTTTTTTTTTTTCAAATGGCAGATGTTTTTAGTATCATCGGTGTGTTTTGTACTGCTCGAAATCTGAAGTGGTTACTCGTTACTTTTCTGGAAAATATTGACCCATTCACAATATTAACTTCAAATCTTGACGACTTTAAGTCTTTTCTTCACGTAGCCTTCAGGGATACCATTAACTATTATTACTTGTTTGAAAGTAGAAACGAAGTTTAGCTTAGCAGCTAGACTTATTCTTTTTTTTAAAATTGATACTATGTGTGCAAGTTCTAGTAAAATAAGCAATTGACGAGACACTCGTCTCGTGATAGTTTTTTTAGAACTTTTGTTAATCCATCACTTTCGAAGACAAAAAGTGAGTGGTTCCATTCTTTTAAAATGCTACAAGAAAGTTTTTAAAAAACTAGTAGTTTTAATTTCCACGTAGCTATTTGTGAGAATCATGTGCTGTCTGTTGATTAAGCAAAAGAATTTCGGCTTGTTTTAAATAAAAATTGTTACCGTGAAGGGCCATATTTACTCGTAAAACTTTCTTTCCGCATTACAGAATGCAAGGTACGAAAACGACAACACAGCATTTCGCGAATGGGTATGCGAAACTCACGATTATGTTTGCAATAAATCAGCGGATTCATTAGGCTGAAAATTTTATTTGAAGTTACGAATAGAACAGAGAGGGTAAATAAACTGACCACCTCTGTCTTCACATAATTCGTCCCTTATCTCATTATTTCAAGAATATTCGTGGTTTTCCTTCCTCTTCTGATCATTACAGTTTCCTTTATAGTGCCATTATAATTCGTAGACGAAAGATAACTTTAAGCGTTCAGTTCTCAGGCTTACTAATTGGATTAGAGAAGTGGTTTCTTTTATTCAGTGAATCCTTTAATAAAGTACTAAACAGAACGCACAACAAACCTGTTCGAATAACCAAGCCAAAGTGCTAGATGATCCAACCAATTTGGCGGCAGGAATCCCTGGGATTTCAAGAGTGCCAATAGAAAGAATGGTAGCCAACATATCACAAAGACACTCATCATTATACCGAGCGTCTTACGTGCCTTTCCTTCACTTTTTTCATGAAATTTATTTATGTGCACCTAGAAAAATTAGTTTCTGTGCCAATAAATTTTTAAGAAAGAATGAAGTTGAGGAAAAGTTGCATTCAAAACATTAGAATGATCATAGTTAAATGTATTCCTCAGCAAACATTTTAGAACGTTTAAAAACATCCATAATGTACTTTTTCTTTCGTTTTTATGGATGGGGAACCTTACGATAACCTTGAAAATGTGCACATCCTACATTTCGACAGGCAGTGACCTGACTGTAAAATATGCTGAGAACGTGATCAATGAAATGCTGATCAATGCAAAATGGCGTTAATAGATATTTAATGGCTTGCGTTATTTCTGCTTTGTAATAAGGGAATTTCGTTTTTTCTTTTTTTTTTTGTAATAAGGAATTGACCGCATGAGAGGAATTGTAGAAAAGAAGCTTCAGCTGTACTGGAAAAGAACTGGAATTGTTTCCATTTACCGGACTTAGGCATCGTGCCATCGGACAAATAAAGTTGTGTTAATAGTGTATGGCACTTTGAGTTCTGTAGTCCTACTAAAAGGAAACTCGTATTCTGATATCGTTAATAACTAATGTGTTAATCTCGTTTGTTTTAGAATTTAGCGAAACAGATAAGCTATACGTTAAATGAAGTTTAGTTACTGTTTGCTGAGAATAAAATTTTACTGAAACAGAAACTTTAATTAAAAACTTAAAATCTATTATTTCACTTTCACTTATTTTAGTCAAAAATATGAAAAGAGTAGTTAAAACATAAAAAAGTACCATTGGTATTTTTTGTAAAATGGCTGGGGGACGATGATGATGGTGCTGTTGACGATAATGATAATGATGGTGATGATGAAGACGACTATTGTTATTATTATTATTATTATTATTATTATTATTATTATTATTATTATTATTATTATTATTATCAGTACTATTATTATTATTCTCATTATTATTATTATTACTCCGACTTGACGGCTCATTTAGGCTAGCTGGACTATGTGGCTTGGCAAGGATGGTGCCATTAACACTTCGATTTGTTCCAACTATTAAAAGACGATCACGTTCAGATAGTCGTTTAGCAGCCAACCACATTTTTGCATATAATATTACCATAATACATGTTGGACCATAAAATGCAATTATCGTAGCATAGATTTGATAAACTGGATTTTGAATGACCTAAAAATTGAAAGAGTACATTTATGCATGCACTTTAAATAACTTCTATTGCTATAGCAAATGACGATTAACATCTGATACTGACTTGTGATCATCTCACTGATATGCACTATATGTTGTAGTCTCAGAAATTTGTTAAAACTTAGTTAACAGTCTGTTATATCTGTTTAATTAACTGCTGAACTGTTTTAGCGGTACTATCCCATCTTAATTTGGAATGATTAGATTTAATTTAGCTTTCCTTTGAAGATCTTTAAGAATGAATTACCAAATGTCTTAATAAATAATGAAAAGATGATTAAATGCCAGTTACAAGTAACTTTAAGATTTCGTGCCCAGGACTAGAAAGATTTTCTCTCTTTAAAGATTTTAAATTAAAAAATTATGAAATGGCTCGTAATTCAAAGGTGTGTTTCACATGTAAGCAGAAGTTTGATTGAAATGAAAGTTGTACTTACATTTTCAAACTATATTTCGAGAATTCCCTTTGTGGGGCTATCTCTAATATACCGTCTTTGTGAAACAATCAAGTGCACAGAATTTGAGAAGCAAAAAGTGAAAACACATAGGTCTCGAAATGAAGAACTCGTCCCTAACTCGGCTCTTTTTTTATCAAAATGTGATTTATAGCATGCTTTTTAAACTAGCTTAACAGCGCTCATATCTGTTGGGTTCGTGGGAGCATCATCTTTGATTTAAAATGGTTTCTCTAAGCTTATTTTCCGCTTCTTCTTTAATTTCTTGGAGCTAAGACATCAGGCGCACTGAATGAGGATGAACACAAAAAAGCCTTTTCAGAAAAATGGACTGGCAAAAATAGATTATTGCATCATTTGTTTTACAAATGAAAATAAGAAGCAATTTGAAATCTGATATAAGAAGTAAAACATTATAAATCAAAGATGATGCTCCTACGAATCCATTTTATTTATTCTTTTTTCACACATTCTTTCCCACCAAGAGATACTTTTTCTAAGAATAAGCATTTCACTTTTTACTGCAGTTGTCTTCTAAAAGTCTGCATTTTCTTTTTACTGAATTTCACTATTCTCCTCATGTTCTGGTATTTCAAAAATGCTCCAAAAAAAGTTTTTGGTGTTCGTGATCACTTGCAGTATTTGACTTCACAGTTCCTACGATAAAACAGTGTGAAGTATAAAAACCATAATACATAATTCATGAGCATGAATTCAATTCCTAGTTCATTCAAAAAAAATCACTTATATTTATGGAGCATAAATTAGGAGAGATGATAGAAAATAGCAGTATGGTAGAACACTCTTTTGGAGTAAGAACTGAAAAATTTCTTACGAGTTCATTATTTGTTACAACTGAATATGAGTCAATTTCTATCTGATGTGATTAATTATTAAAAGAAGAAAAGCTGACTTGACATTTCCCTTCAGTATTTTTTGCTGGCCAAATAACAAGTGGTGATATGCTGACAATAAGTGATAAAATCCATACGATAATAACGTAACAGAATATTCGCTGACGAGTACGCTGAGCGGCATAGCGTAACGGTTGACTAACAGCGCAATAGCGGTCGACACTTATCATGCACAAATTTACTATAGAAGCTGTACATAAAGTTAAATCTGCTGATGTCCAAAATCTGCACGCCTGCAACTGATATTATTTAGGTGATTCAACGTTTTTAAGAAATCTTAATTCCATATGGATGAAGTAGAAATCCGTTAAGTGCTTCATTTATGAAAAGCTGTGTGCACTCAGTGCTTAGGAATCGGTATGATGATGATAATGATCGTCAGATCAAAGGTATGATTTATCGTCAGCATTGAAATTACGTTGACTCATGAAATTTTCCGCACAAAGTAGAGGATCGTTACTTAAAGTACCATCGACCAAAACTTTAACTAAAATAAAAAGCTCTTACCACTTCACCAAGAATCCAGCGATCAGTAAGCAAATCGATTAATGCAATGGGCATTACAAATAAGCCGACACAGAAGTCGGCAACTGCCATTGAAACAAACAAATAGTTTGCTGGCTGGATCTTCAACTTTCGCACCAGTAAGACGGCCATAATTACTAATGAATTACCAACTAATGTTGCAACAATTATCATGCCAATTAATAAGCAAATAATTGCAACAGTCGCTGCTTTATCAAATGAGCTTGATACAGTTATATCATCCAAAATGTTAAGATTGCTGATTGCCGTTGCTGCCGTTACTGTCGTCGTTACTGTTGTCATTGTCGTTGTTACTGCTGTTATTTTTGTTATAATGCCAAGTACAGTGGTTGATGTCATCATTAAAAATTTTTTTGCTTTTTTTCTAATCCTTATGCATAGGTACCACGTTAACCAAAACATTTTGCACAACACTTTAGTTGTAATAATGATAACTAATATTTAATTAGTAATAATTTATAACAATAATAAACAATAACAGTAATGATAAAAATACCGGGAAGAAGAAAATAGTAAGTTGAAATAAAGTTATTCATCTAATTACTGTGCTAACCATTAATAGTTTGCATGACGAATTTGAAATATCATTAACGCAGCACTCATCCAGTAGATGCTTTCTGTTTTTTTAATTCCACAAACACGATTTTTGCTGAAGCCAATTACATGTTCTACACGATGTTTGATTCTTAAAAAGGGCAACTTGTTTGTCCATTATTGCTTGTAATTTCATAAAAACAAATAGAAAGAGAAAAGATTATCATCCATTAACATAACATTTAAGTGATGAAAAGTAGTGAGATCTATCGAAAAGACATTTATTTTTATATTCCATAACCAGTCAACAACAAATCCATTTCAAATCAATGAACAAAGCTTTTCTTCACTAGTAATTTTCCCAGTAAGTGGACAACAATCTCGTAATGGTTGGTTAATTCATAGTGCACAATTAAATTCATTAATTGTTGCTGCAGATAAGGCAGGTTGTAAGATTTTACGAGAAGGTGAACAAAAGCTACTTTAAACAACAAAACCGTGAACTGAGGCTTCATTTTATTCCAGACCAATTTTGTAAATGTTTTACAAAATTTTATATTTTAAAAAATAAGATGCTAGATCGTAAGTTGTCAAGTGAAAATTAATAATTTTAATAAAGAATTGTTTATTATCATAGCGAAAATCGCCTTGTTCTAAAATGCAATACTTTGAGAGTTAGTTATATTACAGAGATACGGTTAACATGAAGAAACACGCTGGTACTAAGACATTGATAGTCATTCTGTATTTGAAAAATATCAATACTGTCATTTATATTACATTTCTACATCAATATCGTTTTAAGAAGTATAAAGCAAAAACAAAAGCTTAAGCACTTGCTTAAGTCTCTTTACTATGATCACATTACATGCAAACACTACCTGAACAGCACTGACGAGGAGTAAATGTTATCTTGTTTCATCTTCAATTTTTAAATATTAAGCTAGGTTGAATGATGTTATACTTGCCGAAGTTTTCAAAGTTCAGATTCAGATTTTTGAAAGCAAAAGCAAAAAAAAAAAAAGAAATAATCAAGAATAAGTGGTATAGCATGAGATAGAAAAATGTTTTCAGAAAATTTTAACTGAGCAACAAACTAGCCTAGTTGTCATGTTCATTAAATGCCTTGCACGTATCATGTAGCCTCCATAACTTGGTGACACATTGTTTAAAGCGAGTTCAACATTTTGAGGAGTATGTATTTCAAGTAATACCAGATGGAATTAGATTATGATTTGAAATAGTAATTATGTATATCATAAACCTTGGTGCCCATAGAATGCTGAATAAGATTAAACAGAAGCTAGTGAGATTTTAGATAGAGAAAGAAATTGGGAAGGTCGGAAAAAATAATAGATAAGTGCAAAAAATGAAAACGGGAAAGAAGAAAAAATTTCTTTCTGAAGAAATGGAAGTTGAGAAATGAAAGTCTTGAAGGAATTTAAAAGTCTAAAAAGAAATAAAGAAGAGAAGGAGCTGGAGTAAAGACGGAAAAAGATAAGTAAAAGGAAGACGAGGACAAGGAATTGAGAACAACTTCCTGAATCATTAAGCATTCACATTTATTTATGGTTTTAAAAACATTTACATGCTACGAAATTAAGTTCCTGTTTTCTGATATATAATAGAAGAGATTAGTCTAAAAAATAGTTAAAGCAGAAAGGCTAATAAAGCGTAGGAATGAAATACTTGTCCAAAGTTGATATTTAAAAGTTTATGAGTTCAAAAAGTGACGAAAAGCATTCATAATTTGGTATCAGGAATTTTTTTACCACTTAATGAAATCATTTAGAGAGCCAAATATTTTTATCGAATAAACAGATTATTACGTAAGCTATAGTAAGTTGATCAGTACCTATTTTCTCTAAATAGGTGGGAAAGCATGTGCTTGTACTTCACTCTATGAATAAACATAGTTTCTAATGATGTTTAACTATAATTTGGTATAGTATTAAAGATAAACAAATATGTACTAACCTAAATAGTGGCCAATAGTTATATCACTGATAGTAAAAAAAAAAAAATACTGTTTATAAAATAAGGAAGTCTAAAATCACTAAATACTTGCAGATTCTAAAATCAAATTTCAACTAACTAAAGTATCGATTTTGCACATAATAAATTGACCAAGTGAATAAAGAAATTTCAGTTCATTATAAGATATTTTCACCTCTTGTACTCAATCAGCGATTTTTTTTTTATAAATGATATTTAATGACCGAACTTAAAAATGCTTCTGTGTATGCTGTGTTAACGTTTTGAAAGCACCACATAAATCTTTTCCTTTTCTATATATGTAATCTATAACAAAACAAAACTTAAAAAAATTAGAATTCATATGAGCCAATCAAACCTCTTATTATAACACCAAATTACCACTTTTATTTTTCATGACCGATAACACTATCACCAAGTTTTACTATGACAGTTTCATTATTGCCGGAATTGTCGTTTTTAAAAGTTTATAGGAATGCGGAAATCAGAAGTGCCCTGAATTTTAAAAATCAATAAGAATCATTGTATGTATAACAGATGTAAATTTCGTCGAGAAGCATTTTCTTGCAGAAAAAAAAATAAATAAAGAAAGAAAGAAAAAAAAAACAAGGAGAGTTTAAAGTACTAGTTTTCTTAATGCAAATAGCATGCAGCAAGTATTATTCCTGTAGGAATGAAAAGTGTTGGGATGTTGCAAATGAACTATTGAAAATATTCGGAAAATAAGTATGCGAAATATAGCACACTGAGCAATTAAAAATAGTATCAGGAAAAGTAAATTGAAAAGGAGTGAATATTTTAAACTACTGAAAATATTTTTTGGTTTGTAATACCACATTATGTACACATAAGCATTTCCTCATTTCGCAAATTCTCCTCCCTCTTTACTTTTCACTTTAATTATAGGTGTCTTATTACTTTTTAATTTATAGTTTACTTCTATTTTCATGAAATTCATATAAATCATATAATCTTCTACGTTTGAGCTTTTTAAATAAAGAAATAGTGCATTTTTTGAATGCTAAACGATTTCTGCTTCAATCATTAATCATCTCCACTTTCTAAAAATCCAAGAGCTACTGGTCAGATATGGATAGTTTCTTTATCATTCCTTTTAACTGTTAATTCTCAGTTATTTTCACTGTCACTCCTTAGCAGCAATGCCGTTTACTGCGGATATATGTTCAGAGAAAAAATAAAATTTAATTGAAATAAAGTAAATATGAATTTTTAAACAGACTGCTTGAAAGCGTTCCATAAATTATCCAAATTTTTGTATAATCTAGAGAGTGTAGTTAAGGAATCCCAATCAACATCATGCCATTAAAAGAATTCACATAGTGGAATGGTATTATAGGCTTATTCATCTTGTTTATAGCAGCGATTGAAAGAGCTAGAGTGAAGAGAATTTTCACTAAAAATAAAATAATTCGAAATTCTGATGTGAATTTTCTCCTTGATGGTTCAATTTTATTTGTTTCTTTACCACTTCAAACACATTCATTCTTTTCCTCTCATAACTACTTTCAAAGCAAAAAAATTTTATAAATTGCAGGATTACGAACTCTGAATAGATTAAAAATTATGGAGCTTTTTCAAAAGTGTAATATTTTATTGAAAATGCGTGAAATGCATCCAAAATAACTGAACTGAACAATTCTTGCAAGAACTGATTGCAGCAAACAGAGCAATGAAAAACATAATACTCTTTAAAGAATATGAAAGAAAATAAAAAGAAATAATGATTGTTTTTATTCCGCTTGTTTCCCATCATCGCATGATCATATAGAATTTCATTTATGTTAAGTTTTGGTTTTACTACTTCCCACCTTATTCAAAAGACTGATATATGAAATTTTGTAGGATTGGTACGGGAAGATTTTTTTTTTGTTTCATTTTCTGGAAGTAATTTCTGCAAGAATTGCTCAGTTCAATTATTTTGAATGCATTCATCCATTTAAAATAAAATATTATACTTCTGAATTTCCTAAATTTCGGTCTTTAAATTATTGTTTTTTCTTTTTTTTTGTTCATCAACCAAATTCTAATTTTAGCTCGAAATAAATTGAAATAGATTAGTTGATCTTTTTCATTATTATAGACTTGATTTTCAAATTTTTAAGAAATCATGCTATTCATCTAATTTGCTTAAAACGCAAGAACAACTAGTTTTATTCATAAATAGCATTAATAAATGACAAAAGTTATTCACAAAGTTTATTTGTACTGGACAAAACTTAATCATTCTTGAAAAAAGGTGTTGTACTTCATTAGTAATAAATTGTGAAAAAAGCTCTGTGGACTTTGTTTGTTTTGCAATGCTTTATTGAAAATATGAAATAGTTAAAAAAAACTCACTTTGAAATTGAATTTTGCGACCTAAATTTTAAAACTGACGTTGTTGGAAAGACGCTTCACCTATCTGACCACTTTATTCGATAATATTAAGATTACTGGTCCCTCACCAGGTTTTGCAGTTAAACATTTTTAAATAAAATTAATATCAGTGTCATTCTTCATCTTAGATATACTTTTTGTGGCTCACATGATCACTTAGGTTGTGCTGGCAACAGAGATTTTACCTTTTTCTGGGATCATTTTTGCTATTATTTAATTTGGTTTTTTTCTTTAGAGCTACTGCCCCACAACCAGTTACTTAGCACTTCTTGAAGAGAAACGCGAACTCGGTGTATCATTGTATCGGGGTAAAACTGCAACAAAGAGTAAGCATTAACCAAACTTCGGAATATTTA